CCGTAAGATCATGGCTGGCTCCGCCCAACTGTCCGTCAGCCGAGCCGAGGCATATGCGTACGACTCGACTGAGCCGCTCGGCCAACTTCGGGAGCTTTACGGGCTATAGTGAATAGCCCGTACAGCAGCCCTTTGGTTCTACGGAACCGAAGTGGTCCTGGGGCCGAAGCTACAGCTAGATCCTTCGGCTGCTTTGTGAATAGACCCCAATGTTTCTGTCCAAAGGTGGTTCCATTGCTCCTCCATGGATTGGAGCCACCCTAAGACAGGAAGTGTGTTACTGGCCAGATCGCCAGGTGCAAATAATAGAATAAAAGCCTTCAAAAAGGAAACACATGCACCCACCAAAACCAATGGTTGGGAATCTAAAATATAAAACAATTTTTGTTTTGGTTACAGCTATTCCTCACTTAACGACTGAGTTCCGTTTCTATGACTAGGTCGTTTAACTAATTGGTCGTTAAGCGAGGAACTGTATACCGTACTGTACTGTATTAGTATCAGTGTACTGTAAATAGAGTACTTACCGAAATTAGTAGCAGAGAACGGAGTACAGTAATGTATGCAAGATGAAGTCGGTGCGACGCAGCACTGCTGCTGCCACATTCCCGCACGTACTGTCAGAGAGCTGGTCATAGGTGCATGCGGTTGCTAAACAGGTAGGTCGTTAAGTGAGGAATATCTGTATAAATATGCTTTAATATTTGCATATGGCTAGGCATTCTTCCCCTCCCCACCCCAAGGTAATAGTGCTTGGCCCTAGCAATTGTATGCCTAGACTCCAGACACTACATTGTGGCAGGCTGGGGGAGGGAATTGGTGTAGCCCATGCTCAACAGCTGTATACAGGAGCGATGTGCAGGACAACTAAAGGAACTATTGTCACTCTTTAACTTTAACTCCTTGGGTCCCTTTGTTTTCTGTGACCCCACAACATGTTTCTTTAACTCCATGAAATGAAATTATTTCTGCTTTTTTGTTACTGTTTGATGTCAGTATGGAGTGATATTTTTATCTTATGACATTTTAACAATAAAATCACAAACACAGAAAATGTATCACGCGTTAGCAACATATATATGTAAAGCTACTGAAACCAACACTTGCCCAAGTAATCTAGAATGTAATGTGCAATAATATGCAATTGGCAGAGCTGTTGCAGGATTTGAATTTTTCCCATCCAACCTTTTACTGTAACCAGTAGGTAAAGGTAAATAACAAAACTAGTTTTCAACACAATGCTTTTTGCCATAGTCAAGAGGTGTGCATGTGATCTCGCTTCTAGTTGAGCACTACTGTTCTAGTGTATTATACTTATTTGTGTGTACTTGAACTCCCAATTGTTTTCTTCTTCAGCATACAAGGAAAAATCATTGTCTCTGTTGCAAAAAAAAAGTAAGATTGAATGGCTCAAGAGCCCGGTCACACTGAATTCCTATTAGAATAAGATAAAGGCACTGTGTTCATTGAAGGGATTGGTTTACATTTTTCCTAGCAGAAACTATAGGTGCAGAGCACAAAGGGCAAAGAGCACCTCCAGCAGGTGAAATTCTGAGAAAATCACATTTTGCTTGATTGATGCTATAAGCTACCTGGCACACTTTCCTAAAGTACACCTGTCATGAAAAACTATGCAGACTGTCATTGCTGACCTCTTGGTTTCACAATGTTAGTTCCCAGGCTGTTGTGAAGATGCCTTAATTTCATTGCTTTCCGAGTCACTGACCTGGTATAGTTTATAGTTAAAGGACAACTATACTGTATATTTAGTACAGTTGTACTTTTAGGAAATGCCCCCACCCCTCTTAGTGCAGCCTGTCATATAAAATACTTACTTTCCACCACCTAGTGTTGCACAATTTTTGCTCAGAAAATACCACACTGGGTCCCTCTCTTACTGCACATGCACATTATGGCCCTATCCATTTCTTTGGGTGAGCAGTACTCAGGGGAAGCTTTGAGTTTTGGATCACCCATAGGAATACATGGGGCCATGGTGCACATGTGTTGCAAGAAGACCCCGGGAGCATGCATCTGGCAGGACTGAGAGTAAATATCATTGTACGGAGAAGAAGCTAAGAATTGTACATGGCAGGCTTTATTTAAGAAGGTTGGGGCATTAATTTAAGGACAATACTCAAGGGGCAATACTCAAGGAATTCTGAGACACATTTATAGCATGTATAATCTAAGTCTAGGACTCAAGAACCCAGACACAGCCAGGAAACCAGCAATTTTAGCAGCAGACCAGCAATGTCAGCCCTTATTCTTCTCTACTGATAGGTGTGATTTTAGCCTATAAAGCTGTTTTCTGAGAAATAATCTTTTTTTTTTTTTTGCAGTTGTAATAACTGGAACAGACTGGAGCATGCATTTCATGACTAAGCTACACTTAGCTCACCATGCAACTGAAAATGTTCTATACAATACATTAGGAATATTGGGTAAGCATAAACAACCTTATTTAATAAGTCCATATCGATTTATTATTATACAAGGATACCACACAGGGAAGCCAATCCTAGGTTTAAACAATGGTGTAGAAAAGAGGTGTGATAATAATCACTTCTCTAATGATTGATACATTCCATATTAGTATCCTTGCATCTAAAAAACAGTTAAAGCTGATCTCTAGGCAGATATAAAAGACACATTTTTTGCAGCGCTGTACTTATTAATGCAACATGGGATGTATTTTGTTAAATGCAAGCAGTGTATCTTATTTGACCTGGTATCAGCCTTGTGCAGTCCCTGTTCAGAAGGGCTGGATTGTGAGTGGAAGAAGGAGCAGTATAAGGAGCCAATCAGCTGCTGTGCTGACAAGAAGAGTGCGGATAGTGGGAAAAAGCAGAGTGATAGAGAGATGAGCTCATCACCGTGTTGCTTCTCCTTTCACTGTCCAGTCACAGGCCAGCACAGTCTGGTCTCAGAGAAAGTGGGTTAAATGACAGTCATCAGAATTACATTTCATGGTGTAAAGGCTGTGCTGCGGGGGGAGAGCTCTGGATTGAGTTCATATTGCAATCAAAGGTGCTTTATTTTCTTTTTCATTGAGCTTTTCATTTTTATCTTTTTATTTTTGTCTGGAGTTCTGCTTTAAAAATAATGAAGCTTGCTTTATAGAGATTAGCCATTTGCCAGTGCTTGACAACTGAAGTAATAAAAGTCATGGTGAGGCTTAATGGATTCTGTGAAAGTTGCTTTTTCTACAATTCCAACACAGCAGAGGAACATGTTTTAGAAAGTTGCCATGAAGATTCCCTCTCAAGAAACCTATTTTCTCTAATCTTTGTTGATGTACTGCACTTCAATATAACATAAATATAGCACAGATGTTTGGCATTGCACAAGTTTTACTTTCCATAAACTTAATTTAAAAGTGAACTACATACATTTTAAAGAGGTCAACATGACATAAATGAAGGAAATGAAGATTGATGTAAATATGTCACACCTTCCTTTACTCAATATCCAATTCCTTAATATACTATCTCTTGTGATACATTTTTGGATATTCATTACTCAGTCTCAATTAAGCATGGGCATTAGCATCTAAACAGGGCTGTGCATCTGTTGTTGCTAATTACAAAGTATCAGTTATGAATTTCCCTTGTGACCGTTCGTCAGTGAAACCGTGGAAAGAGCAAAAGTGATGTGCAAAAGAGAGCAACCTGACATCCAATCAGATTTAAGCTTGCCATTACTGAATTTTGACTGATTGCATGTTGGCATAATTAATAGGTCTCTTACTTTATTTATTTTTATGTATAAGATATCATGGATAATTTTATATATGAAATGGGTTTAAAGTCTGTAGACTATTCAGAGCTGATCAGAAGTCACACAAAATGCCGCTGAGTGACCAGGGTCAATGCATCATGACCAATATTGCTCCTCATCTTAGAACACAGGAGTTTCCCTCTTTAACAAAAAAATAAAAATGTCACTATGACATTTTAACATAATTGGGTACACAACTCCTTCATGGCAATTATTCTTAATGTATATCTAAATCTAAAACCTTTTTTTAATTTTGGATAGAGTAGAAGAGGGTTCTAATGACTGTGAGTTTTTTTTTGTCATTAGTGTCCCATTAAGGAGATTTCCCTTTGAAAGCTCAGCAGGAAATGAAAGGATAGCTTTCCAGTGTAAGGTAAATCCCCTCTTAGTCCGCTGAAACACGTGTCCCATTAGAAGATTAACCATTTATTCCTGTTCTGCTGGCAAATCAAAATTTTGGGTTTACCCTTACTTCCATTCCGAGTGACATTGGTAATCGGGACAATTAGAGAGAGTGAAGTTCCCAAGTGGGAACCCAGACACCAATAAAAACCTGACAGTGGTTCTATCCCCTCTCCATTCTTCCCAAATCCACGAAAAAGAAAGAGGAACTTTACCCATAACTTCAAGAAAAAAAAAAAACACAGGTACCTTTAGAAATGTTTAGTAATGGCAATCTACAAACGCATACTGTACTTACAACTAATTACCCTCTTTTTATTCTTTGCATACATTGTTTTTCTTTTCCTCTCCATTCTTCTCACAGTGGCCATTTTTACTGAGGGCAGGAACTCTGGCACACGTGACTAGGACATGTGACCATAAACATTCTCTCTGGGGAGGAAAATGCCTTTCCCTAAGATCTTGTGAGATAACAGATGAGATTTCCCAGCAAAGCTCTGCTGATTTAACCTTCCCAGAATGCAACGCTTGCGCATGATTATATAATTTGTGCCAAAGTGGACCAGGAAGTAGAAAACAAGAAATTGTAAGTAAAATTAAAATATGTTTGTTTAACTAATTAATGTGAGATGATTTCATATCAGTATGATTTTAAGCCAAAGGCAGTAAAGGTCTGCTTTAAGATATGTTTCTTGTAAGAATAACATCTATCCAGCATCAGATTCCTTTAAAACCGTATTTTATTCCTGCTTTGTTGCTTTGTTATCTCCTTGCCCGTCATTACACATTGTGCTTTCTATACTTTTATTTCTACTCACTCAAAAGGCTCACTGGGATCTGTTCTCTGTAGCTCTGGAGGAATTGGGATTCGTTTATAGTACATCTCCCAGTCAAAGGCTCCTCTCATGGCGTCTCCTGCTTGGGCTTCATATCCAAAGTGATTGTGGTCGATGACATCTATCATGGGACACACAATTGTTTTGTGGTTCAGAGCAATCTGATCTGAAAAATGAAAGCACAGAATAGAGGAAGATATGTTTAGTCCACTCATTCATCATATTATTGAAACTTGACTGGGACAAATCTCTCAGGGATGAAACGATTGTCTTTTTTTCCCTGAACTACTGAAGCTCCCCCAAAGCATTTTACTTTTTAAAGCAGATTTGAACTTCTATCGAATGCCAGGCTTCATGCTGCTGGACAGTGATTAAAGACAATTATAGTTTTTTTAGGGGAGCAGTGTCCCAGGGAGAGCCGCAGAAGCCCAGCCACTTATATCTCTGTCATTCAGCTGCGGCAAGCTGTCCTCAATCTGTCACTTGAAGAGACAAGAGCTGCTGTCTAAAATACTCTCAAAACAGCTTGTGAAGGATGCTGTGCTTTGGAATTATCTTTCCAGGTTTGTGCAGGAGTGCTTATTTCTTGTAAACAGGTTAAGCATCAGAATGAACCTAAATATTTCACATACTGATCATTTCTTCTTTGCTTTTTTAACCTGGTGAAGTTAAAGTGATATTACAGTTTGCATGTTTTTAAACTATTTCAAATGATTAAATAACATACAGTATGATGGATGCTGCTCCTTGATGTTTAAAAGTTTTAGATTTCTGTAGAATCAGCTGGTCCCCTGAACACTGGCACTGATATCCTGTTTTAGGGTGGTTCCTTTCCCATGCTGGGTTCTATAAACTCACCCTTGTGTGTGCTAGTAAGCTGTGTGTGTCTCCACAAACACACAGGCACAACATAGCAATCCATTCCCCTGCACCCCACTCCTCCTTCCTTTCTTTGAGCTAGTAGATGGACAGCTGCTGGAGATTGTGCCATCCCTTGAGTTCCTGTACTTGACAGGAAGTTCAGGGAAGCAGAGCGGAAAGAGCTAGGGCCAGCTGTTTGGAAACATGATCATTCTAAGTGTTAGGGCAAAAAATGTAAAGAAATAATTTGTTAGGTAATGTATGTTTGTTTGGTCTGGATTCATTACTGAAAAAAAGGTTAAGAGTTTATTTCTACTTTAATATTACATACTGTAATACAGTTGACTCTTTGACTCTTTCAGACAGCTGTTTATGGTATGTGAATAGCAATAAACCTGACCACACACATTACAGTCTGGTTGCACAATCTTCTTCAAATTTAGCAAAAGCTGTTCAGTGCAAGGGCCAACAAAACAAATTGAATCCCCATATACATAACATGAGTAGCAGTCTCCAATATCCCATTATACTAGAATATAATAACTTTTACAAATCAATACATTAATAGGCTTCTTCTTTTTTTTCTTTCCTTTCCCTTCCCCACTCTTCCTTTTTGACCTACATAAATACAAGATCTATTTTTCAACACCAATAAGGATCGATGTCTAGCCTAGACCTGATATCTTCTCCAGCCTATTTACAGCCTATGTGTTAAATATTTTAATTTGAAGCCCCCCCTAAAAAAAATATAGTTACACTGTTATTCTTGGGTTTAGATACGCTTAAACAGAATCCATGTTCTATATAAGGAGTTAGCAAGAATGCCCATAGGTAGGCTGATCTCCCTTCAAGATTTGAACTACCTATTCTCAAGGGAATCACTAGAATTAATTGCACTCTTCTCCTCTAGCAGAGGAAATGAGCAATGCAGATATTCCGTATGTATATGTATGCATATATGAGATCCTCATACATTGCTCTTTACTTTTAGTCAATATATCCATAGACCGCAAAATGTGTGAACAGCTAGCAAAGAATTGGAATAGTCTTTCCACCATCAATTTTACACCTTACAGTGCTTGGCCATGTGCAACATGAATTATGTAACATAATGGTGCAAATAAAGCAAAACTAGTGATGTACACTTGCCTATAGCAACCAATTAGACTTAAAGCATATCTAAACCCAAAAGCAAAAATTTACTATTTTGCAGCTTACCAGTTCTTAGATGTAGCATTAGTTTTCCTTTTTTCTTTTGTTTCCTTTATTTTCACCTGGCGATCCGGCCAGTAAGTCTGTTCTTTATTAACTTTCTTTATCATATTAAGCTTTCTAGCAACAGTGGGAGGGAAAGGGTTGAGACAAACCATTTAACACTGACAGTGGTGGATTCAATGATCAGCTTTTATTCATTTATTTAAGAAATTGATCCCAAATGGGAAAAAAAAGAAGTGTTTCTGTAACTGCTGAAAAAGTGTTAGCTGGGGTTTGGATTTGGAATGCTGGTGTCCAAGGGTGTATCAGTTGCTCCTCCACAGAGGGGAGCCACTCTAAGAATTGAAGTGTCTTACTGGCCGGATTATCATGTAAAGTTGAAGGGAAAAAAAGAAACTAATGTAGCCACCACATTTAGGATTGGTAAGCTGTAATATATTACAATTTTGGTTTAGATGCACTTTAAAAAGGATTTCCATAAAGGAATCTTTATTTTTGCAGCAAGATGTCCCAGAGGATTTAAAATATTTTTTTTAAATATATTTTTTTATTGTTGAACAACAACCAACATAAAAAAAAACTGCAGCAACATTTTAAACAGTGTCCGGATCCAGTGTCCAAGGCAAAGTGGAAGATTAGCCAATCTGGATAACTGCATAAAGGGTGGAGCGCAACAGTGTAGCAATGACGTTTTGATTAAAGAAAAATAGGTATCGTGATATTAAAAATAGGTCACTAGCAAAAAAATTAATCATGATGGGGGTAGGAGGGGTTATACCTTACTGGCTAAGGGCATTTTTGTTTGCCAGTGTCCAATTCCTCCTGCAGGCGGAGGTATAACTTATTCGCCTGTGAAATATTTCTGATCCTGTGTCTCTTAATAAGCAATAAATAAACTTTTTGTAGTCTGGGAAAGAGTATAGAAGGGTTGAATTCCTGCCAGTTTATAATTCTTTTATATTGTTTCCCATTTGGGAGAGTTCTCTTTGGTTCCTATCCCAGAGATGCAACAGAAACAGAGGAAATCGCTTCAAAGTGAGGAGAATTCTACTCTTATACAGTTCTCACCAGATGATTTCCCCTCACCTCTTGTTCTGACTGAAAAATGTTGGATTTCCCATCACTTACATACACAGTAATATACAGTAATTGAGATCCACAGAGTAGTTAGGTCAGAGGTGACAGACAGATACAGTATGATATCTTGCACAGGGAACCTCCTTGAATCCCCAGGGCCCCATGGAAATGTTACGGGCTGCTGTGGCAGTAATCCTTTCACTACTAACAGACATAATGATTACTACAAATACTAGGGCACTGCTAAGTAGGTTTACCACTCTAAATACGCAATAAACTATTTCATTTTCCCAACAATTCAAGCAACAGAAAAGTACAGTAACTGTCACTCAGTGTTTCATCGTGTTTGAAACTACCATTGTATTTGTGTACCCGATCATATAAAGTGATATTTATTTTAAATACTATGCATTGATGCATTTTATAAAATGCCACTTCTTGTTCACATTTTACTCTTCATTTGTAACAAATAGTTCTTTTTTGTTTGGAACAGTTTATTTTTTCGCTTCCTGGCCTTTGTGCTATGAAAATTTGAGCTGTAATTCAGCACAGTGGTCAATATCCCATTGTCTATTATGAAGCTAGTTGTTACAGGCTTTAACTCTTGGTCGAAGGGATATTTTCAACAAAGGCTAGTCTCATTGGAAAAATAAGAGATGAAAGAGTTGGCATAAAAGGTATATAAAAAATGACATAACTTTTATGTATGTTCTTGAAATCTAATGTGAAGGAATAAAAGGCAATTCAGTTTTTCTAAAGCGGCCATTTTCTGTTTTTACTGCTATAATTACCTGTAACAAATAAATTCAATTTCCAATGTGCTGACATACGTTTTTTAGTATAGTACATTCAAACAATTGAGACACCTAACTATTAAGGCTGTCATGAAGGCGATGACTGGCATTTCAACAACGATATTTTAAAAATCGCTACTTCAAGTTTCCTCAAGACAGTACCAATCAAACAGAATACAACTATGTTGCTTTGTACATCAAAAACTCAAGTAGTGCTTGGTATTTTCCAGATATTATATTGTATTAGGTAGCACAGCAAGCTTGAAACTCTTAAAAATATGCTACAGATGTTGTTGTCCACAAAATGCAAAACGTCTTTCAGCTTGAGCCAGGAATGATTCCACAAAAGAAATAACCAGAGTGTAACAGAGACTCTTACTGCTGTTCAATTAGGCCATTCTTAGCAGGTCCTGCTCTGTTAGCCTCCAGATTTCAAGTGCAGCTTCATTGTTGTACAGATATTTTTTAAATGTGCTATTCATAGTAGGGCAGCGCAGTGATGTAGTGGTTAGCACTTCTGCCTTGTAGCACTGGGGGTCCCTTGTTCGAATCCTGGCCTGGTCACTATCTACAAGGAGTTTGCATATTCTCCCTGTGCTTGCATGGGTTTCCTCCCACACTCCAAAGATTTTGCCCTTGCATGTATGCATGTAATATAGGGGCCCAGATCTTAAGCTCCCACATTAGGGTTTGATGTGAATGTGCGCCCTGTAAAATAGTCAGCACTACATAAATACCAACAATATTAGATCTGTCTAGGTTCTCATTTATCCAGAACATGGAAGTGCTAGGAACTGTGCTGGGATACATAATCAACCTATTATCTAATAAATGGCCCACTGTAGAAGGGGGGACTCACTGGTCTTCCGATACCTTAAAACCCAATAGAACTACCAGTTTAAACGAGCAAAATATACTCTGTGTGCATCAAAACAAATGGTGTCCAATTTTCAACAGTTTGTGTTGAGTTTGTGGAAAAGCTTATTTCCTGCCAGCATGCTGCAATATGACACCCTTGCTCTCTATGGAGAAGAGATCATCTCTCGGTCAGAGAACTGACATGTCCCCAGCTGAATCATAGCCAGAGATCTCCAATCAGCAAGGAGCATGAGCTATACTGCTTACACAGCTATAGGTCTAGGCCAGCAGATGATGTGTCAGTTCTCTGCAGAGAGACCACTACTTCCCCACAGGGAGCAAGGGTCCCACTATGTAGTTG